TATTCAATGGGCCCATTCCCTGGAGACTGGACCCAATTGGGCAAGTGAAGACTTAAATTTTACTGACGAATCCCCTTATTAAGTGGGACAAACGCCCTCTGTGACAAGCGCTTGAACTTTGGACGGATTAATGTTTGCTAACCTCCTGTGAATCGATTTGTTTTGGTTGGGAGCGCGCAATTTGTCTGTGATAGAAATGGTTACTTTAAATTAATTAATTAGTTGCTTGGGTTTCTGGGGTGTTGGAGAGTTGTTTTGATATTCTTGGGGTTTACAGCCACTGTTGGATAACAGTCCGACTCGGCCACCGATCAATCATGGCACGACCAAGTACAGTAAATTGGAGAATGAGGTGGACAGCCCGAGTAGGCAATTTCTGGATGAAACGATGCAACAGCAGGGGATGATGATGAGGCAACAGGATGATCAGCTGGAGATGATAGGAGAGAGTATTGGCACTTTGAAGACTGTTTCACGGCAAATTAATTCGGAACTTGATGAGCAAGCTGTGTAAGTTTATCATCTCTACGTTATAATCAATTCCATTTTGACGGTTTATTTAAAATTCAAATTCTTAATTCATTATACTAGAAGTCCTCGCACTTTCCTATCATTTCTATAGTTCTGGAATTGTCTGCAATGTCTTGGAAGTTTCTGGACCCAGAGAAGGGACACACTTGAATTAAATAAAACTTTTTTACCTGGCAGTTTCTCTGTTCATTTCAACAATATTTTTGTTGGGAATTGATAAAGTCGCATAGTTGTTTCAGTGAAAATGTTTCAATTATATAAAATGAATATCTATTTTATTCATGCTGAGTAAAGAATTATGACAAGTTAATGAATTCGTTCTATTCAGCGTCAGAACTATTTCATTTCTAACTGATAAAGTCTCTTTTTGAATCAAGGAAATAGTTGTTTATATCTAAAAGGCTATGTATTTGATGTAACTGACAACGGAAATAAAAATCAAGTTTAATTAATCCAGGAATCAGGGATTTTTGGGGAAATAAAAATACTATGATCTAATTGTTAAGGATACGACGTTTTGAGTTTAAGTGTGATTAAAAGTTTTATTAGGGGCTGTTTTAAAAAGCTCATTTATTTGACTCATATAAAGTTTATTTAATTCAAATAAACCATTCAGCTGGGTATGGGGAGGGATAGGATTTTCTAAAACACTGTGGAAATTAAAAAAATGCTCAAACAATTCAGTACTGAAGTGATCAAACGGTTCTATTTGGTTTACCTTGTAGTTAAACTTATCTTGGAATTTGGGAGAATAACAATTTTTTTCACATTTATGCTATCGTTTCTTTCTATATCAACAAATTTTGTGGACGTTCAAGAGATACTGGCGGAAAATTATAATACATCTATAAACTTAGTAAAATAATTGAACAAACGAAAAATCTAATAATTAGCCTACGTCTAGAATGCTATAGGTATTCCTCCTCCGGGTAGTTTATTCAATTTATATAATACAACAGAAGAAAAATATATATGCAAAATACACATTATACAAAATTTTTTGGAAGGAGTTTTCTACAATGAACAATGTAAGTGATAACTAATGAGAAAAGTAAATGATAACTAATGGGAAAATTATAATAAATGATCAATCAAGTTGTTATACATTTTTTCTGTCCAAACTACTTTTGCATTGTTTTTGTAAAATATCAACGTCGTCATGTCCTCTCAATCTCTACATTTTTATTTTAAAAAATCGACGTAAAATATAACTGACCAATAGATCAATAATTCGCCGTAGTAATGACCGATTCCAATATTGTAGACTAATTGCCTCCTCCCGGCTTTGCCCCGGGAGTTCCTTTCACTTACATCTCATTTTGTTTTAATTTTCTGAGAAAAATTCACCAATTTTCTCCAAAATCCAACGTTTCTCCCAATTTTTTCAGACAATTACGAATATTCTCAATTTTCTTTGTTAGAAAACCCATTTTCTCAAACTTTTTACAAAAGAAGACAATTTTCTTGAACTTCCTAGAAACCTCGAGACTACTAGGCATTCTTGAAATTTATAGAAAGCCCAAGAATTTTCTCAAAAACTTGAGAATGTTTTAGCATTTTACAAAAGTTTTTACGTTGCAGACTACATCACGCTATATACAGTGCAATACTATTTTCTTCCCCATTCCATTATTTTTAAGAGAATCCGGCAAATTACCAGAAAGTTCTGAAACTTTCTATGGTTTCATTCTCTTGCATGCAACTTAGCGCAATAATTTATCGCCTTGTTAGAACGTGGACCCTAAACCCATTAACCCTTCGTTACTCACCTGGTTTTTGAACAAGTTTTCCGTCCATCCTTTCGCGGCAAATTCGTCCTTTTGAGACCAACGATGAATCGTTTACTCAATTTATCATATTGATATGCCCGTGGAGCGCGCATTCAATCTCGCATATGAAAGAAAAAATAAGAAGACTAAGATGAACTCGTTTTTTGTCCTGCAGAATGCTAGATGATTTTGGAAATGAACTCGAAGTGACAGACTCAAAGCTCGATGCAACAATGAAAAAAATGGCTAAGGTCCTCCACATGAGCAATGGTAACTATAGTAATTACATTCCAGCTCCCACCAGTTCTGTACCCAATGTATCTGTTTATCCACAAAAAACATCTTCACTCTCTACACTCTCAACAACAATAACCAATTGTTTTATGTGCTCTGCCGACTAAAACACTTCCACTCGACCACTTTAACACATACAATATTAATTAAATAAAACTAACAATACTGGGGAAAATAATTGCCAAAGATTACAATGCAACTGTGCCATAGAAAAAAAAATATCGGAAAATGACTCAAGGGAAATAGCTGATAATACAACTCCTCCGCTTTGTTATTGACAATTACTCAAAGAAGATATTGTAATATTAATTGATACGAAACTGGAAAAAGTCGTTATTTTTTGGCGAGAATTCATAAACAGCCTATTTATCGATTCACGTTTACCGTTAATGATTGAATGAAAAAAAAACATTTTGTAAGATTTTAATGGGATACAAAACTGGATTGATCCAGTCATTACTTCCAAAACTGGCTGATGATGTATCGAACCAATGAGAAATGTTATCGATGGTTGTCGATGATTGTTTGGAACCTGAGTTGTTTTAGATCAACTGTCCTCCACAAGAATAGTGAAACTAGGTAGGAGCTTAAACGTTGAATATTATAGAACTAAAGAATAAGATAAATTCGTTGATAGAGTGATTCGTATCAAAATTTTATGTCAATTGTGTGATTTTAATGAAGAAATTTTAGATTGTTTAGATGATATTTATCGAGGGAACAGTCGTTGATGTTTCAACTGAAACTAAACAGAATAAACGAATGCATGGTAACAAACAAATAAAGAAAAATCTAGATGAATTATTATTACTAATAGAGAAGAGCCAAATGTAAGGCCAACATATGTACCTCATGTAGAAGCAAAATTAGATGTTGTATATCTTCGTTTAGTTGATTTCAAACTACATAAAACAGACTGGGTGAAGGAGCTATTGCGTAACTTGTTACTAACAAATGTAGAAACTAAAAGAAAGAGATATTAACTATATGACCATGGAGTATGCAATAAATTAACTTGAGTAAAATCAAGGAGTATGTGAAAAAACTGGAACGCATGCGATATTACTTTCCATTTTGTTTTAGATCGGAGACAATGGGTAGCCATTGGCGTGTTGACTGCGGTTTTGCTAGTGCTAATTATTTTATTTATAATCAAATGAATCAATATAATTATGAGAGATAATTATTATATCGGTTCTTCGGGACGCTCTTGTATGTATTACCTAGCACGGTAGATCTTCAATTCCCTTTTACATTTGTTTCTTATGAAACTATAATAAAAAGAACTCTTCAAATTATGATGAAAACATCAGGCGCCTGAAAATTTTCCAACACGACTTCCACTTCTTCCAACATTAACAAATAAACCAGTAATCTCTGTCATCGTAAACAACTAATTGAATCATCGATAATAGTGTTGCTTGCTAAGCCCCAGATGCTCTCCTCCAGTCCCCGAAGAAACTCCATCCATTTACCTTTAAAATATTAACTTTATTGATTTCACAATAAATTCTACATTTCGAGCTACAGTTGAAGTATAAAAGTTTCGTAAACTTAGTGTATATTTTAATATACCAAATACAAAAGCGGATTGTTGTTTCTGTGATCGACGTGAGAAAAACGTAAATGAAGTTAGCAGAGAGATGAAAGGCATCAATGTATCTACACAGAGGCGAAATGACGGGCAGTTAATTAATCAAGATAAGAATTCATGATTTGCATTGAGAGCTGATTACTTTAAGTCTTTGGTATCAAGTATAATATTGCAAAAAAAGAAAAAAAAACACGGGCCATGATGAGCTTGATGGCCCCCTCGGTGGTAATGTAAATTTCATAAAGCTCTCATTATTCAATTCAATGATCAAATTAATTAGCGAAGAAGGAGAGAAGAGGTTTTCAATTAGATACGCTGAGAAAAAAAATATTTTTGCCGAATATCCATTTACTTGAGAAAAGTATTTATTTTTTCAACGCCGTATTTCTCCAGTCGAGTCATTGCTAGGCAATCCTCATTAGATGTCAATCGTTACAATTCAGTAGCGAAGTGGTAAAACGATTTAGTAAAACTGGGTTTTCGAGCAATATCTCCGAATCTAAGGGAGATAACGAAATTTTCGTCTATATCTTTTTTGCAGCTCTCAATTCGCTCTACAGAAAAGGTCGTAACAAAAATTTGGCTATCTGCCTTAGATTACGAGATACTCATTGAAAACTGACGCATAGTCAAAATCAACTTGAACCGTTTTACCACTTCGCTACTGAATTATATTGCGCCAGAAGATGAGCATGTTAGTTATGACCTTGAGTGCGCTCCCTCAATAATTATCAATACAAAAAATAAATCGAAATTATTCTCTCTGGAAAATGAGAAATTTATGAAAAATGAATAATCATTGGAGGGATTCATCCAAGGTCAAATGCAACATAGTCATCCTCTAGAGCAATATGATTGTCATAATTGAAACCTAATCAGGCTCGCCTACCAATGACTCAATAGGAGAAATCCGATTTTGAAAAAAAGCTTCTCTCAAATAAATGAATATTTTTCAAAAATATTTTTTTTCACAGTGTAGAATCTACGTTAAGTATTTATGGCACGTGAGCCGATCTAAGGCTCCAGCCGCCAGCGATTTTGGCACTGAGTGGGCAGTGCCTTCCTTATCTCATCGATGTTCTCCACGTCATTCCTCAACCTTCCCACCTCCTCCTCATAATTCTTGACCCACTGGGTCTGCAGATTCTTCGCCTCTGTGAGTGCCCGAATCCTCTCATCAAGATTCGTGGCTTTAATCTCCTTCTCCGCCGCCAACAAGCGCTCCTCAAGACGATTGAGATCAGCGTCGTCGATCTCAGGAAGTGCTTCCAGCTCCCCAATGATCTCCGCAACCTCAGCAAGCGCCTTATCCACCTGCTGACTCGCCAGTGCCACCTTTGTCCTCGCCTGACCCACCCGATGATTGACATCATTCGTCACATTCACATTGCTCCCAACCCTGACCTCATACTTCTTCGCGATGGAGTCCGTCATCTCCACCCTCGTGTGGAGCTTGTCAGCCTCGTTATTAAGCCTCCACGCCTCCAATTTCGTTTTGTTCGCCTCAGTTCTAATGACATTAGCATGTGTCCCAGCGTCATCGGCATTTCGCTGCGCCTCGGCCGTGATATTCCGCGCCCCAGCGGCATTATTCTCCGCCCCATTAAGCACAACTTGAGTCTCCTCAGCCTTCAGAATGGCCTCTTCGACCATAGTCCGAATTTGCTCGATGTTACGAAGTGCCTCCTGCGCTTTAAGCTTCTCCCTCTGCACTTCAGCGTCAAATTCACCCAATTTCTTCAGAGTCTCTTGCGCCTCCGCCAGCGTCTGATTGCCCCTCTTCACAGCGTCCTTGGCCTTTTCGTTGGCCCCGTCGACCTCTGAGAGCAGCTCCGCAGTGGCTGCCTGCTGGTCCTGCGCTTTGTTCAACAATTCCTCGCTCTTGTGGATTTTTTCCTCCAGATCGAACAGCAATTGCTCGTTGTCCTGCAGCATTAGTTGGGCTTTCTCCTTGAGCGCTAGACCTTCATTACTAACGGCTTCCACTTGCTCTTGCAATTTCTCAATATCAACCGAGGGAGTTGTCAGGTCTAGCAGCAATAAATCAACCGCCTCGTCCGCCACTGCCGCAGCCTTCGCAGCTGCCGTGCCCGTTAAATTCTTAACTTCAATGAAACGATCCTCCAGAAGCTCCAATTTATTATCCAACTCTCTGATCTCCTCGCTGATATTCGCGTACTGGGCAATTGCCTTCTTCGCGAGATTGTAAGCCTCCTGGGACGTGTTCCTGGCTTGTTCAGCGAGAGCATGAATCTTCTTCGCTTCATTTGTATTCAAATCAGCCAACACCCGCGCCTCCTGAGCGATATTCGTCATTTGTTGGTTCTGCTGGCCAACCTGTTCCGCGCGTTTCTTCGCCTCTGCCAGGGCCGAGGCGCCCTCAGTAGCCAAGTAGTCTTCAGCCTCTGTTAACTGCTCGTGAATCTTATCGAGAACACTTTCAGCCTCGTCGATACTAGTCAGCCCCTCGCTGGTAGTTCTCTTCGCCTCCGCAGCTGTCACATCAACCCCCTGAGATATTCTGTCAATCTGATTTAACTGATCTCTCAGCTCCTCAATTTGCTCCACCAGCGTTTTATTTTCGCTTCCCGATCCTGCCTTCGCTGTCTGCAAGAGGTTTCTCACTCTGTCCTCGACGTTTTGGAGTTCCCTCTCAAAGTCAGAGTCCTTGATCACAGTCGGACTGCTGTTGATCTTCCTGAGGGTGTTCTCGAGATCTGCGAGTCGCCTTCGGTGAGAGTTGACGGCGTCCTGCACTAGGTTGTAGCAGGGGGGACAGTCCACACAGCCGTACTGTCGATTGTGCTTGTTCTCCTTACAACGATCGCATCTTCTTCCCTCGACGTTCGTCAAGCAGGGGCACTGCCCATTGGCGTCACACTGGAGATCCTGAGACCCAGCGTGATCACAATCACAGAGCTTACATCCCTCCCTCCCAAATCCGTACTGATTCGGGAGACAAGCGTCGCAGCGTTGGCCAGTGATCCCAGGACGACACTGACACCGTCCACTGTTTGCATCGCAGGTCCTGTTGTAGGATCCCTCGGGGTCGCAGTTGCAGGCGGTGCAGCCGTCCCCAGACAGTATCTGGTAATACCCATCCTCACATTTGTCGCAGTTCTTCCCAATGACGTGGGGCTTGCAGGCGCAGTATCCTGTCAGCTGATTGCACGGGGCGACAGCTCCATTCTCGGCTTCCTGGGTGCCAGGTGGGTAACACTGACACAACTTGCAGCCGTCTTCTCTCCTGTCTGACAAGGCGTCCCCCCAGTAGCCCGCGAGGCAGTCCTCGCAGTGGAATCCAGCTGTGTGGTTCACACACTTCAAGCACTCCCCTGTCTCGTGGTTGCAGTTCCTCACAGCGTTCAAGTCGATGTTTCCGTTGCACTCGCAGGCTCTGCAGGCAATTCCCCTGTCTGGGTTGCCAAAGTATCCGTCGGAGCAGGTCTCACAGCGAGCGCCAGTTCTGCCAACTGGACATTCCGAGCAGATTGGGTCTGGGTTGTTCCCCAAGAGTATGCAGGGGCCGTTGTCGGGGCAGGGGCAGGGCTGACAGTCGTGAGGGGTCTCTTTCAGGGGATATCCGTAGAATCCTCGGGCGCAGAGCTCGCAGTTGCTTCCTGCAGTGTTGTGTTGACAGATGCAAGCGCCTGTCTCGGCCTCGCAAATGTCAGCGTGACCGTTGCAGTTGCAGGGCACGCAGAGGGCGAAGGGACCACCGTTTGGAGGCTCGTGGTGGAAGCCGGGGGCGCAGGACTCGCAGAACTGGCCGACGTAGCCGTGGGGACACTGGCAGTGCTCCACCCAGTCGGCTGACTGACCTGCTGCTCCTCTCAGCGCTGTCTCCAGGCGAACGTCGTCCAGGAAACCTCGACCCTGGTGCGTGTACGTTCCACGGATTTTGATGGATGTAAGGTTGGAGAGGATCGACATGAAGTCGCGGGCTGAGAGACGCGGCTGCCAGCCGTAGTTCGGGTGCTCGTGGAGGCGGAATTTGTAGGTTTGAGGGGTGATCGATGGCAGGCGGTTCTGCTGGCCGAATATGGGCTGCGTTATCTGCTCTCCGTTGCCGCCTTCCAGGACGACGTCTCTTGCTGTTGGCGAGGGGTCGGTTTCGCCGATTCTGAGGGTGAAGTACAGGTCTTGATTGTAGGAGGCTCGCTGATCTCCTAAGAATCTGTCGGGGGCCACGAAGTAGACGTTGTCGCGGTCTGGGGCAGACACCTGGACCGTTTGAGTGACTGCGTCGTAGTGAAGGGGAAGGGTGCTCCCTACGACATTCGCAGACCAGCGTTCATTCCCTCTGACGAACATGCTCTCGATCACCGTCTTGGAGTAGCCGTTTGCCGGTCTGCAGATGGCGGAGTGGCCGAAGCAGAAGCAAGGCGTGCAGCCGAATTCATTTTCCAGGGCGAGGTTGAAGAACCCGGGGCGACACTCTCGGCAACGCTTGCCTTCGACGTTTTCTTTGCAGGAGCAGGCGCCTGTTTGGGCGTCACAGCTGGGTTGGTTCCCCAGGGAACCTTTCGGACTGCAGTCGCAGGAGGTGCAGCCGATCGAGTCGAAGTTGTAGAAATTTGGAGAACAACGGTCACATTTGTCACCGGTTATGCCGGGCTTGCATTGACATTTACCTTCGCTGTTGCACTGGAGACTTCGTGAACCTGGTTAGGAGGTGGGTGTTAATGAAGAGGAGTATTACGTCAGGAGGTAACAGACCCTTGGGTGTGGAATTCTGAATTGTTCTTTTGTCGATAGCTACACGGAGAGAAATTTTCTAGAAAAATTCTAGTACGAGTACTAGAAAAAATCACAATCCACCGGCTGTGAAAAATTCTAGTGCTGTTGAGGTAAAATTTCTTGGTATTTCGTGTAAAATTCCTGGATTTCTGTGAAATTTTCACAGAAATACGGGAGAAAATTCACATTTTCCCCAATAAAAATTCTAGTGTCGGCACTGGAATTTTTTTCTGGCCGTCACTTTGCGCCTCTTTTCCCGGGCTAGCACTAGATTTTTTTCTAAAAAATTTCTCTCCGTGCATAATTGGCTTTTGTCGCGTTGTAAATTTTTCCAGTTCACGTCACTTTAAAATTTTTTTTCGAACAAAGGATCTATGATCTGTCGATATATGTGAACATTCGCATGAAAAAGGATCACTTTGTCGATATGGAGTTATGTGTACTCTGATAGTATTGATAATAATCCGCACATTTTAAACCCAAAATGATCCTCAAAGAAACAAGTTAACATTGGTATAAATGGGAATTGCTGAGGCAAAGCGTGAATATCTCGGAAACTAGGATTGACAAAGTGGTCCCTTTTCATGCGGAAGTCCACATATAATCAATAATAAAACCTCCGACCATTAGACGATGTAGTAATTGAGTGATGATTTTTTTTCCTTTCAAAAAGCGAACAAGTGGCAACAAAAGGCAATTCTAAAACTCAACACACTCGAAAGAATCTGTTACCTCTCAAAGGCATTTGACGAAGTTTGAGTCAATTGAGTTGTCTTACCTATTTCGTTACAGTTACAAGCGATGCAGTAATTATCTTCAGGACGTTCGTAGTAATTCTCTTTGCACCTCTCGCAGTTTGCACCAGCTCTGTTTGCCCTGCAGTCGATGCAGTGACCGCCGTGGCCACTTCTAGCGTACAATTCCTTATCGAAATAGCATCTGTCGGAGTACCCATTACAGTTGCAAGCTGCAAAACGGAATCGAAATTATTTTAGCAGATGAATTCTCAGACAATAGTTATAAAACTTACGAGAAGATTGATAATATCTTGCCGACAATCTACTCCGATACCCCGAGCCCACAGAACCTCCCCTCAACATCAAAATAATCAACAGAATTTTTCTCATTTTTTTATCAATTAATTTGAGCAATAATTAAGGGATTGACTGTCTCATGGGGACAACTGTGAGACTGATGCTGCAAGCTCGCTTTGTCATATCCCCCACTTTAATACAACTCATCGCTGGGTACATATATGGCAAAGCTGTCCCCTCGATATAGCCACCATTTATGGCGAACAGAGCTCGTAAAAAAGTCAAACCAACGACAACTCGTTCTTTCTTTTCACTTGTCGCTGTTTGACGACAAATTCCTCTTACCTTTACACTCGTGGGCATCAGTGTGAGTTGCACGACCCCAAGGGGCATCATTGTAGAATGGCAGGCACTCGTTACAGTCTGGACCAGCAGTGTTGTGTTCACATCTGAAAGGGTAAATCGAAGATTGGGGAAATAGTCAATCAACATTTTCTGGAATAAACCAATTACGGGGGGACAAATTGAGGGCTATGGGTGATTGCTGACCGACAAACTCTCCGAGTGCTTTCATCGGAACTAGTTATACAGACGCCGGCGTGTCCGTTACACGCACAACGGGCTCCAACAGCGATATCGGCGATTGCATAGTAGTAAGATTTGAGGACAGCTGGATCGCCGAAGACATCGTCACCGAAAGTGTTCAGACGGTCGAGGCTAATTCGCAGATCTGTAGCTTGGACCCATTCCTGAAACGTGAGCGAATGTATTTTTATCGTTCTTCAAAAGTCAGTGGCGCAGTGGGAAAACGAGTTGAGGCTGCATTTAAGGATATTCAAGTACTTTGGCTATTTTTTCTCCAGTGAAATACTTTTCTACTTTTGTAGTCGAACATCAGAGCTTTCGTTTGAGACCCATTTGAACCCAAGTTTCCAAACATTTTAGAATGATATTATTATTTAAACTTTGCAGGTCTCGGTTTGAATTTCGATATTGAACCGTTAGAAAACATTTAAAAAATCTGAAGAAAAATTGCAAAGTTTACTTTTGGAGGAAGATTAATGGAAGAATTTAAAAATTACAATTTTTGAAAATTACGAGAATTTTTGCTATAAATAATTTATAAACTCAATTTTCCACCATAAAAATCGTTTGGTGCGAATCGTAACAAATTTATTCATGTTCAGAATTTCACCAGAAATCGATTTTATGCCTAAAACCATTGAGTTTCCAAAAGTGTAAATAATTTTTATCATTTATTTAAAATAACGAAGGTTAAAAAAAAATAATTCTGTGCAAAATGTAATTTGAATGACGCTCAACAATCATGATTTTTTTCAAATTTTTCTCACGCAATTTAATTGACAAATTCAGTGATCGGCATCAATCATTATTCCAGAAATATTAAGAGAATTATTTCCCCAAATAACCGAATTCATTCATTTATCATTAGAACTTAGAAAATAATAAATAATTGAGAATTTAAATTTTTTCAATAACTATTAGGTGAATAATTGGAAATTTTCAAAAAATATTAGAGATTATCAAATAATCGCCATTCTTCCGAATTCGATTATTGATTGGTAAAATAATTCGGAATTCAAATATTTAATTGTTGATTAATTAATAATTGAAAATTGTTAAGTTCTATTACTTGATTGAGTATTTATGAAATTAATGCTAATGATAATTTCTGATTACGCCTATCTCTGGACAAATTTGATGACTGAAAATGGTTGTATCTATAGTGCGATCTGTATCAAACTGTAAAAGATATTTGGATATCCTTAATTTTAGCTATTGAATGTGTATGCAAGTTTTTGTCATTTTTTCATTGGAGTGAAATGAATGTCGTGAGGAAGGGATTTAAAGAAGAAAATCCAATTCAATTTTCCAATTAATGTTCTTTAAGGTCAGCATATCCATGGATGCCAACCTTTGAAAGAAAATTGTAGTAAAATGCGACTTAGTTTTCAAGAGGCTTAGGTCAAAATAAGGATCCGAAGGGTCAGATGAAGATTCACAAGGGTCAAAGTAAGGGTCAGGAGGGATCTAATGAGGATCAGAATAAGGGTCATGGAGGTCAAAATTAAGGGTCAAAGATGAACGGTCAAAAACCAAGGGTAAGAAACAAAGGGTCACGAGGGTTCTAATGAGGGTCAGAATAAGGGTTACGAGGGTTCTAATGAAGGTCAGAGTAAGAGTCACGAAGTTCATAATCAGGGGCAGAATAAGGGACACGAGGGAAAGATTCAGGTTCACAAGGGTTAGAGTGAGGGTCACAAGGATCAGAATAAGGGTTCAAATAAGGGTCATAGGGGTGAAAATAAGGATCATGGGAGTCATATGGGTCTATATGGGGGTTGGCGAGCGAAGCGAGCAGGGGGCGTAGCCCCCTAGTGTTCAATATTATTATGCACAAAAAAATTACTTGTAACGCTGGATTCGTATCGAATTGGAAAGCCGAGGGTCTCCCTTCGAGCGTCGAAAAGGCAACAGTTCCCTTGGTCAGCGGAGAGATATCCGAATACTCCGAGGTGCAAAGAACCCTAGTGTCATCCCCTCGAACAGTCTCCTTCGAGTCTGGAAGTCCATACAAATCCCTGCACGATGCCGAATAATATTGATACGGCTCCCAATTAGATTTATCGTTCTTCCTTTTATAAATCCCCCAACTCTCGGGTCTTGGCGTCTCGAAGAGGACACGCACGTAAGTGATATCGAAAGTTTTGCCTGAAAAAAAAGGAGGAATGAGTGAAGCTTACGCCAATGGACCACATGTAAACCAAGGTATGTTCTCCCCGGTCTACAAACTTATCTCAAATGACATAGATAAAGGGTCAGAGCTCACCGGAACTTGAATGAACTCACTTTGTCTTTATCAATACCATTCCGTTTGATATTTTCGTGGAATTTAATGAATGGGGAACTGACACGTACCCAAATGGAGAGTCAGATTGACTTGATTCGGGTAATCGACATTCTCTAACATTGTTTCCGACTGCCACCAAGTGGCATTCTCATTGTTATCCTGATCAGTTAAATAGGTGGCTGGGTGATCTCCCCATCTGCAAATGTCACAGGACTTCTCCTGGACACGTGTTTGCTTGCAGAATTCCGTGGCGACTCCACCCTGCCCGCACGTATTCGTCGCCTCAATCACCAGATTGAAGGCTGCATTTTCAAACGGTGGGATGCACCTCTGTAAAATGACAACGGCACTTGTTTGTATTCTACAAATTTATGAAAGACGTAGGGGAAAGTGGGGAAAAATTAAACAGCCGAAAAACGACTATTGGACGCAATTCAAAAATAGTATATTTCCCACCAAGGGAGGGAAAATAAAGGAGTTGTGGCCACGTGCAGAATTAGGGGAGGGTAGGGTAAAACGGATACTGGACTTTTTTTGAAATATTCATGACGTGTTGAATTATTTATAAAATGGAATAATTTTATTTTTCAATTGAAAAACAATGATTCCTCTTTGTGATGAGCTGAGACTGAGCTCAATTGATAAATCTGTTTCTGAGTTATGGATATTTTTTAAAAAGTCAAAAGTGTCCATTTTACCCTATCCTCCCCTACGTGGTAAGCACGTGGGTAAGGGTCCTTTATTTTACCTCCCGTGGTGAGAACGTTATTTTTCGTCACGGCGTAGGGGGAAAAGCAGATTTTCCTCCCGCGAAGCGAAAATTTTTTTATCAACTTTTGTTAATCAACTTTTTTTTATTATTGGGAGTACTGATGAGAATAATAATTTTCTATTCGTCTTATAATTCAGTTGATTAGATTAGGCTGATTACGCTTTTCTTTTTACATTCAATTGAAATTCGACATCACATTTCCTTTTTGCCCCATGCGGGTCTCCCCCTGGGCCTTGCTCTGGACTTTGGATTTTGCTGTTTCATTTTCCTTTCAATTAACCCATTGACAAAATTGTCTCCCGTTAAAACTTTTCAATAATTCTTCGTTCTACTTTTTGCTTGAATCGCGTCAAACAGTTGTTTTTCGACTGTTTCATTTTGCCAAATTCTCCCCCATGAAAAAAACTGTATAGAAAAATCCAGCACTTTCGCCCGAAAATTGTAGGTTTTTAAAGTTTTTCGCTGCGTCTCTTTTTCAAATGAAATTGTATGGCGGAAAATGGGCCAAAGTGGAAAGTTTGCCATTGACTCAAAAGCCCAATGTCTCTGTTTACAAATTAACATATCAAGAATTGAAGCAAAATTCCATTTTATGACAGTCTCACCTAGTCAGAAATATTTTATCAGAATAATCAATAGCCCATCGAATTTCTATACAATACAAGTTATTCGATTGAGATATTTTTTATGGAAATTCTTTGGCATAAATTTTCAGTCTTTTTTCACTGTTTTTTTTTTTTCAATAAAAAGTTTAAACATAAATTTTGGAAAAATCACGCCGAGGTCCTTTCATAAAGAATATATTCATGGGAAAAGTTGTATAAAAAAATCAGAATCAATTGATTTTTTGAATACAATATTTCAGTATAAAAAAAAACCGCTTTTCTTTGTTAAACGTTTGTCATCGACTCAAAAACCCAATATTTCTGTTTATAAATTAACATCTCAAAAATTGAAAGAACGTTCCATTTTGTGACAGTATCTCCTAATCAGAAATATTTTATCAAAAAAATCAATGGACTATCGAATTTCTATACAATACAAATTATTCTATTGAGATATTTTCTATGGAAATTCTTTGGCGTCAATTTTCGGTATGTTTTTCACTGTTTTTTTTCTCATTGAAAAGTTTAAACATAAATTTTGTAAAAATCACGCCGAGGTCCTTTCATAAAGAATATCTTCATGGGAAAAGTTGTATAAAAAGATCATAATCAATGGATGTTTTGAGAAAAATATTTGTTATCAAACATTTCTAGTGAATGCCGCAGAATGTCTCAATAGAATCCGTCAGAACCTAATAGTTTTCAATAGAAGTTCAACCCAACTCCAATAGAACTTCCTGAAAAAAGTGGGGCTTTTAATCAGGCTTTCTAATGATTTTTTCCGTATTTATCCTCAATCACTGACAAATGAATAACCATTTATCTATCACGTGGAGCCAAAAGAGGAAGCATAGTCACATGAACATTTCTATCGTGTTGTTATTTCGTCTCTTTTTATCGTTTCATGATTTTTTCTCTTATCTTCAGTAGAAAAAACCGTATAAATGAGTGGAGAGTTGAAGCAATTCGGGGAACAAAACGATAACCCCTCGTTCACGTTTGTCTCATCTCCGAGAGGATGAGAAAACGAGGAGATGAAGACGACAGAAAGATAAAGATTACCGAAAGCGCTCGTGATTGTGAATGTGGGGCATGCATAATGGATTATTTAATCTTCAAATAATTTGCTGAACAAATCTGAAATGAATTACTTTTTTTGTACATCGTTAAACCTCTCTCATTCTCTTTTCAATTTGTTTATAAATACCTGAGGCCTTCCGGACTCATCATAGCACTTGACTTCGTCTTTATTCTGAGGTATCCGATGATACAGCTCTTCAGACGGATCTGGCTCTCCCAGGACTAGAGAGAGGCAGGCTATTGCCAGCAGCAATAGTCGCCTGCCCATTGTAAAATCCAAATAACTGCCTACAATAACGATCTCAGTATCGATTATTCAATCGATGAGTTTTTTTCCATCCGCCCGGCAGCGGCTCCCGAGCTTGACTGAACCCGCGCTCTACTGAATCTTTCGTTTCTCTCAGTATCTGTAATCTTTTATTTTCTACTTTTTCCTCCGTCGCTTCGGCTACACTCATCAGTGGTAAGAGCTATTCATCGTTCGGTCCATCTGATCTATCGATCGGAGGATCTAGGTGACAGGAAGACGTGGGATAACTTTCAATCGAAAACTCTGCAAGTGAATAATCGATAAATACGTTTCAAACGAAATGCGATGTTTTGTCGAAATTTATCGAGGGAAATGGGGACATTTGGGGACGTTTACGAGAGTAAATCTGAAAATACGGATGCAGGGCCCGACTATAGCAAGTAGTACTTGTACTGCAGTGAACAAAATTCCAACGGTAGTTTAGTTTATCCCCCGCGGCAGGGGGTAGCGTCGTAGCCTTCCCACAAATCCCGAAAAATTCGAAAAACTCCGGGCTCTATCGCGCTGCAAAATTAATTTGTCAGAGCTCGAGAGGGACCGCCAGCAACGAACCTTCGATCACTCCAATCACTCCGGTGTAATCGATAGTGGAGGGTTCACCAAGATGTCAAAAACACACGTGCGAATGAGATCCGCAACTGCAATGCTATTTGCTGAGCCCGCGATGACTGAACAGACACAAACGCGCAAGAGTTTTACGGATGTATTTACAAAGGAGAGGCCTAAATTGTGCCCACATACACGAGAGAACGCAACTAGGGAAACTGGAGGTGGAGAGCAAACTGAGAGTGTGGAGGGAATGAAAGAGCGTGCTCTCTGAAGAGGTCTGCGGCCACCGCCTGTCCTTATTCAATCCACACTGTCTCTGTCGTATTTTCTCTCCTACGCTGTCCCCACGACACTCAAAGGCCCCGACCTTTCTTCTCCCTCTGGAACGAAACCTGAATGAAAAAAAAAACGAGGGGAATGAGGAATAATGGAGATGCTGGAGGTTTTCGGAATTCCTCTTTTGGATTTGATTTGAGTTTTCTGGAAAGATGAAATGGGAAAAACGGATATGGGGATATCTTTTCCACCCGGAAACTGGGCACTGATACTGTCCCACCCACATAATGGTGTTTTGTCTCGCTCTAGTGAAGGCAAGACTGCAAGACTGTTATCTTGCACCGATTCATGCCTGTGATCCGTAGAGGGGACTCTGTTGCATTTTAAACCCAGGGGCGTATGCACTCGTTAATGAGGGACTAATGGACTGCAGGGTGTAGGTCATTACTGCGAGAATTATTGGAAAAATCTCGAGAAAATATTGATTGAATGGATTTGCTTGTTGAACCCGTCCGGGAAATCTCAAATAGATCGTCAAAACGTTTCTTAAAAAATTGACATTAACTAATTAAATCATTTGGTTGTAACAAAAACGATTGGGATACTTCACAAATCGCATCATTTTTCGTTCAACATTGGCATGCAGCAACTAAAAAAATTCTTCATTATGAATTGTTGAGGTCAACCGCAAGCCCATGCCCATCCTGAAGATCCCATTATGGAATCGTGGTGAATAGTCACTTGTGGAAAAAATGCAGCTCGGAACTTTATAATTTTATTCTTCAGTTGATTCCAATTTGAATTGAATTCATAACTAATAGTCTAGCTAGATGAATGTACATGGCATTATCACATTTAACAATTTCTTAAGACAACTAATTGAATAATTAATCCAATAACGTCTTGAAATGATCTTTCAGTTCCTCAAGATTCGCAAACAGCTCAAACTCCGGAATATCTTCGTACTTTTCGCTTGTTTTACAGTCATGCGTCATCAGAAATGCGTACCATCCCGCATCTTTCGCTCCGACATAATCCAACTTGAGATTATCCCCAATGTGCACAGCCTCCGCGGGTTTTATCGTCTCCCCTCTCGCTTGTCCACCCAATTTCAGGGCCTCCTGGAAGATCCCGTGGGCTGGTTTCTCCGATCCATAACTGTAGGACGTCAGAATGAAAGAGAAGTGGTCTCGGAGGCCAGTGCTCGCTAGGATTCCCTCCAAACGGTCGTCGAAATTCGATACCACTCCGACTACGATATCCTGCTCGTTCAGGTAACTCAGGATGTCCTTCGTCCCTGGGTACAAGTGCCAACACTTGTTTGTGCCGTAGAGTTTGATTAGATTGTGTGATACCTGTCATCAATGAATAAAATGAAAGTTGAAATAATTTTTTCATCACGCTGTGCGAAAATAGTGTATTTCAGCACGTGTGGGGCAATTTCGTCTTTAACGTGTGTGGGGTTTACAGCATGAGCCGAAGGCGAGTGGTGTAACCGCACACGTTAAGGACGAAATTTCCCCACAAGTACTGAACAAAATTTTATGTCACGAAGTCTGAAACCGGCTGAATTAGACACGAGACGCGAAGCGTCGAGTGTGTAATCCAGCCGGTTTCAGGCATGAGTGGCATAAAGTAATTTTTTAGGCACCCTTCGCGTGCCTAAAACGTCCCTTTTCCACACATTGTGATGAAAAATATTGTTCGATACTCGTGGGAAAAGTGTTTTTTGGCGCGTGGGATTATATCACTCGCCTTCGACTCCTGCTATAAACCTCCCACGAGTCAAAATAGTATATTTCATAACGAGTGCAAAAAAGTGTTTTTTGGCGAATAGGCGGTTTATATCACGAGCCGAAGGCGAGTGATATAATCCCACGAGCTAAAAAACATTTTTTCACGAGTTACGAACAATATTTTTCATCACAGTGTGGCGAAAACTGGACTTTTAGGCACGCGGAGCGTGCCGAAAAGTTCACTTTTCGTCACAGCGTGATGAAAAACTCTTTTCCACACTCGTAACGAAATATACTATTTTCGCCAGATAATACCACGGACAGAACTGTTCAGTAAAAATTACGGAATTCACAATTCACTCACCGATTACGGAATCGACTCCGAAAATTTAAGTGACGGTATTGTAATTTTTCACAGGAGATTCAGATAAAAATTACAGAATGCCCCGGAAAAATTCCGTGATAATTCCATAAAATTTCCTACAAAAATATTTCGCTCCGCAATTACGAAAAAGATACGTAATTTTTATTGAATATTTCTCTCCGTGTATATATAGAGGGAAAAATTGGGATAAAAATTATTCCGTTGACGAGTAAGAATGAATTTAGGATCATTAAAATTATCATAAAATCGCATTAGTTTCAGGGAATTTAGTTTACGAGGGCAATTTTATTCACCGAGCTGAACAAGGTGTCACTGGACAGTGAATTCAGTTTTGAAATGGAGGAAAAAAATGAAGGGTTTCAGTATACAACAGCGGCCACAAATATTATAATCCTCTATTATTTTATTTTCATATTTACTTTATTTTCATATTTTATAAATTTCCTATACGGATTGCGTATAGAATTTCTATAGGAGTTTAGTATATGGTATTCGAATATTTCAATACGGATATTTTTTATACAAATTATTTCTATACGATTTCTATAGGTTTGATCCTGTACGACCCACTGCCCCATGTATAGAAACATTCCGTATGGAGTTGCGACATTTCTCTACGTTTTTCTCTGGAGCGTTTAGACATCTTTCGTATGAAAAAAATTTATGTAAAAATTTATATATAGAAGTAATTCGTATAGAAATATCCGAATATCATATACGGAAATCCTACAGAATTTCTATACGCAATCCATACAGGAAATTTCTATACAATTTTTTCATCCGTGTGTCGATATCCAGTTATGTATGTTCCGATAATATTGACAATACTCCGCACATTTAAAGTCCACAGAGACCCGAGCCTGCAAAATCATGTAGTTTGAAAATATAAAACAAAATTAACATCTGTTCGAATGGAAGTTGTTTGGACACAGACGTGAATCTCTCGGAAACTAGAATGGACGGAGTGGACCCTTCCATGCGAACGTCCACAATTAACAGCGATATTCAGTGGAAACATTTTTGCAGAATTTCATTAACGATACTTCAAAGTTGATGATTGAATTTGTTTCATTGTTTTCCAGGAACTGTTGTATTACCTTTTGCTGCGTTGCGCGGACTCACGGCATGACAAACGAAGTGTTAACAATCGTGAATAATCATAAAGGATAATTCTCAATATTGATTTACAAGAAAAATTTACTGGAAAAATCAATAGTGACATAACTTCGTATGTGTCTTTCGTGTGAAGTCATAACGCAGGATTTTTCAATTTCCTACAAATCATTGCCTCTGTATTATTCATCGAAATGAAAAAAACACGTACAGAATATTTTTCATTCAATTTCCATACGCAACAATAAAGAAATTCAGTAGCGAAGTAGTAAAAGGAGATAAGTCAATTTTGAGTATTGACCAATTTTCAATCAATATCTCGGAATTTAAGGGGTATAGCAAAATTTTTGTTATAACCTTTTTTGTGGAGCTGATTGAGTGCTACAACAAATGTAATTACGAAAATTTCGCTATCTCCCTTAGATTCGGAAATATTCCTCAAAAACGCAATTGGGAGATAAGTCGACTTATCTCCGTTTACCACTTCACTACTACATTTTCTGCAAAATTTCAAATGCTTTCATTTGAAATTAGCATTCAGAATCATAAATGAGTTATTGCAGTGATATTCGAGGTAATTCAATCACTGGTATCCACAAAGCTTAGTCGCGCGAACACGTATTTCGAAGTCTGGACAAGATAGCGGTATTTCCGTAAGCAACTGTTTGTAGATCTTACTTTGCTCTGCACGATAGTTTGTCATGGAAACTTCGCTATCTTGCTTAGGTACCGAGGTATTTTCCGAAAACTAATCTTGAGATGAAGTTTACATATCCTGTGTGGCCACTTCACTAATTGAATGGTTTCGGTGGTGAAGTGGGACGGCGTAAGATATTTATTATTGACACTCCATATAGAGATCCGGAAAGTCGAAGAATAGTAGGGGAGGGTGGGGTAAAATGGTCACTTTCGACTTTTTTTTAATTGTTCATAACTCAGAAACTAATTTATCAATTGAGAAAAAAAAATTAAATTTCATCAACATTTCAACCCCTTATTAACATTTAAGAGGAGACTACTGTGAGTTTTAAAAGTCGTGGGTTATGGAGTGAGACTTTTCATACGTTGAAGATCGATTATATAGATCTGAAAACGAGTAATTAGTGAAAAAAACATTTCTTTTTTTGTTCGTTTGCCCGAAAACGCTTAAAATGCCAAAAACAGTCAAGGGCCTCCAATTTTTGAGCTACGAATGATTTTTTTTTTAATTTTCGGAAAAATATGTGGAATAACAATTACGTGCTATTTTTTTTTAAATTCACCTCTTACATGGCTAAATTGGCTTTTTTTGTATTTTTTTACACAAATAGTGAATTTTTTTATATGAAAAAAAAAAACGAAGTCAGCTGTTTAGGAGTCGAATTCCAAAAAACTTGCTCGTAATTGTTGTTCCACGCATTTTTCTGAAAATTTTGGAAAAAAAATCTTTTGTAGCTCAAAAATTGGAGGCCCTGGACTGTTTTTAGCATTTTAAGCGTTTTCGGGCAATAAAAAAAATAAAAAATTTTTTGCACTTATTACTCGTTTTCAGATCTATATAGTCTTGTCCTAGCATCAATAACGAGCGCACCAAGGGGCGAACTCCTCGTGATTACTAGATACCTGATTCCGGAATTAGTTATCTCCTCTACCCGGCGTTTACCTAGTGATTCGAGTATCGGGAATTGTTTCAATTACAATTACGCTCATCCTCGTGGTAATTGTTCCCGCAATTAATATTAAAAAGTCAGAACTTTCGTGTAATCGGCTGACAGGTTGCAAAATTATCTGTCACGGCACGTGCGTGAGTTCACAAGTGAGAAAGACTCATTAATTAAATGAAACTGATCGTTAAAACCAAATAACTTTTGCGTACGAACTTTATTTTAAATTAACGACTCAAAATTAAATAAATAACCTGAGTTATTGAGAAAGGTGTGCCACAGCAGAGAATAAATAGAGCAAATAAATGTGAGTAACATTAATATCAATCTAATCTGACTTAGAGGATTCATCTTTTCTCTCTCCTTTTTTTTTGTAATTGTAGCTTTGTACAAATTTCTCATTCCAAGAGATCTAAATTACATCATAAAATTTTGAAAACCCTTGTAATAGAATTTGGATTTCCTCTGAATAAACGAACTATATTTTAAATTACATCATCTCTAGCATCATTGTTAAATTATAAATTACCCTCAATCTCTTATAATTCAACAGATATGTCAAACACTTTCGAGGTAAGGATCCTAACTAAATAGAAATAATTATTTTTCTGCTCGGTGAGAAAATTGGTTGAATACAACAAAAAGATTCAAACAATTTTTCATATCCAACAGTAAAATTAAACCGCTTTGCTACTGAATTATTATCCATAGTTTCGGAAATATTCATTTTCGAAGAGAGCCGGTCATTCAATGAGGGGCTAATTGATTCGCAACTTTTTTCATTATTAAAAGTTACCTTCTCCAGTACATCCTCAGATATTCCTGGATGTTGATCCCGGAAAACCCCATAAACAAGATTCTTCCACCACTTTTGCCAGCCAAGACCCGTGTGTTTACCAAAAACCGGATGTTCATTCGACAATCGTGAAAAGTGATGTTTGAAACTTGGCGCCAACAGTTGTGGATCGAGGTCCGGCGCGCCGTGTTTCACTCCAATCTCCCCATAATGCTCCAATTTCGTCCTCAATAATGTCCCCGTAACGTCGAATGTCACTAACCGTGGTCGAACGAGCTTCATTACTTCTGTTTTTATCAGCCATTCGGTGACACACGTAATTTACCCAATTGGTCACCTACAAAATGCAGACGACGCATTTACATTGTGCCGAACATCTGTGACTGCTCCGAACGAAGATAACCGATAACTGCCGACGACAGTGTGACAATCACCCGCCAACTTTGGGTAAAAAAATGGCAAATTAATTTTGTCTCATCATTTTTACTTAACAAACTGGAATAATACATAATACTTAGTACAGTATTTACAATTACTGCTGATAAATTGTACAAATTTCATTATTATTAGTTATATTCTGCAGTTTTTAATTTAAAAAATCGTTCATTTCATTTTTATTATGCTCGTCGCTCACCTAATATCCTTCAAAAATTAGAAAAAAAAGTAATTTCGTTAAAATGTATCTCCCAATTGTGTAAGTTGATTAGTAATAAAGTAGAAAAAAACGGGTTAAGATCTATCGTAGTACGTTGTACAGAGTAATAAACTGACTCAAGTAGAAACGACTTTTTTACAGATGACAGCAGAGTGTAAAGAGTAACTTGTAGCAGTCGGCAGTGGTTTCAATTGATTCATGAAATTTCTTTTTATACTCATATTTTTTAATGGAGGACTCAATATTTCATCATTGGTTAAACTTTAATTTCATTTCTCATCACGGAGATTGCTACATTTTACCACTCTGGGTAATTATTATAATGACACACCTTATGAACTATTTTGTGTTGTGTGACTGATGGATTTTTTATTACAAGTTAGAAGAAAATTATTGTTTCAACGTTTAATTATCTTGTCTTTCTTAGTTTCTTTGCGCTTTTTTTGGGAGAATCGTACTTTGTGGTAGAAAAGGGAGAAAGTATCTGATTATAAATTGCCTCAAAAACTTATTATATACCTGTACAAGTGTATAATGCATAAATCGAGGTAACAAGATGACAATTATGGCAGTCGTGATCAGGTTCATTACAGTTTCTCTCCTTCATTAATAGTTAAATTCATATATATACACAATGATCGGTGAAATACGTCCTCGCTGTACCCAACATGTGTATATATACAGTAAATGCGGTAATATTGCAATACTCCTGATCTATACTACAATATCATTTTTTTATGTAAATAAATTGTTATCTGTTTTCTTTCTTTTTCTTTCAATATATCGATCAGTCTCACAATCTTATTTATCATGTAGTAATTAGTAGGAGAAAGTTTGAATAAGTTTGTCTTCATGATATAAAAGTTTTTGTCCTTATAGTCTATGATGTTTAAAGTTATATTGAAGATTTTGCTACCAATTGTTTCGACCAAAAAACGTCACGAGAGATATTTTCTTTCGTCAATCGACGTATTTACAATATCGTTTTAGTCGTCTCGTAAACACGAGGGAATAAAGTTTCGTAGCAAAATCCGTAATTCGATAGTAGTTGGATAAACTCCAGTCATTATGATTTCATTGCTTTCCGCGAATATCAGAAACTGTCAGATTTTTCACGCAATCACTATGTTGATGATAATGATTGATAGTTAAACACAAAATATCATTGCAAGGATAATAATGCTAATTTCAATGTGAAAAAGAAATCGAATTATTGAGAATTGACTACAGTATTCCTACGTATTGCATTTTGTTGATTTTTTGCATAATGATGGTGATAAACATGAAATAAATGATCTGTGAAGTTAATGAAGTGTAGAGTGATTAACAATCGTTACTTCGTCCTTCATTTCTTTTCCTTTTTATCTTAATTAACTGGCAGTGTGGGCATACTCAGGTAATTACATACGAATTGACAATAATTCATGTTATTTTTATTACTTTTTCTCTTATTTATATAAAAAATATATTATGAATATTATCGATTGGAGATAGCAGGGGGGAGTGACACAATTGTCCGTTCTGTGAGTTAAAAAATATCCATTTCTTATCTGACAAGTCAGAGAAAAAATTATACTCTCTTATGTTGGAAAAATAATGTACCCGGCTTAAAATTGAAGAGAAGTGAAATTACTTGCGATGAGAAATAAAAATAAATAAAGTGCAGTCTCATTTGCATCTTCCTGAATTAAAAACAAAATGCAAAAATCCAATCTCGATGATTAGTATAGCACACAGTAACAGTTACGATCTTACAATTACTGTAAAAGAGATCACAACTCACATTCACTCTTTAATTATTCATTTGTTATTGAAAAACAAAGAAAAAATGCTAGTCTAATCTGTCCACAGAGGAGGCAACAAATGAACAAACGTCTTCCGTGGACAAATTATTTGGTTCGATGTTTGATTGATAGCTTTCAACGATTGTCAATGAGCCTTTCTTTTTTTTGTATTTTTCAATTTTTTGTAAAACTCTGAATATATGAAGTTTACGCGTAAACTTCAAGGTTCTTTATCTATTATACAATAAAAAAAATAATGCCAAATCAATTTGTAGAGACGCAAAGAATATAATATTGCACATTTACAATTAAAAACTAATCTTTGTGTCTCGTCCATGATTTGTGACCAGTGTTTTTGTTTTTAGTAGGCTAGAAACGATCGGAGGGTTCAAGAGGTAACTTCCTTGTGCGGTTCTTTTAATATCGAAGAAGAAAATACCTTATGCTAATAACTTAACTAGTCTTGACGTCTTGTCTATCTATCTCTCTCAATAACGTTTTTTTTTCTTTCTCTCTCAAACAGTCTAGTACTCAGTCCATTTGCCCAATTCCTCAGTCGTATAATTGACTTCTCTCTCACTTTTCCTCATTTTCACTGATGATCATGAAGGAACAGTGATTATTTTAACGACTGATGCATAAACACATTCTAGCACGAATTTCTTACGTCTAACGTCATGGAGTTCACTAGTTTTCTTCCCACGAACGAAAAAAAAGCATTTCTCAACTTAAATCATGACTGATTGTTTACTTTAACTTGGCCCCTAACGTTAGAGTAACATTGTTGGCATCTAAGAACTTTTACACACACATTTTTTCCCAGATAAAATCGGCGCTGTGGACAGGATCATTTTATCATTCAAACGATCCAAAAATTCATCACAATTTTAGTACATACCGCAAAAGCTGCCGTCTTAGATTAAAAATTTCTAAGATGAAATATATCACATATTTAAACATCCATCACAGCATTTTGGTGTATCAATCCTCAATTTTTTTCCCTTTTTCAATTTTCTTCAACCTCCCTGGATTATGCACAATTCCAATAATTAAATTTTTATTCACCCACCACAGGCCGTTTTCTCCGGGTAATAAATACGAAAAAATACAACAATAAATTTTCACGATCTCTTGAATATGATTCTTTAAATTGCAAGTATCCCTAATTCAATAATGTACTGCATTATACATATATCAGAAAGAAAATATCGTCACGTTATTAAGAATAGAGACTCCAAGTGTGAAACTTGCATCGGAAGTTTTCATAATTTTTATTTACCTAATTAATGAAATCGAAGTCTCCAGTACACCTAGACTACCACGAAAGAAAGAGAAAAAAGAAAAAAATATGTATAAATTACGGTGACACCTATCATCAGGTGTCCTGTCATTAATTGGTGACAGATTGTCTTGTAGCATGAATAGCAAAATCTACGAGTGGATTATTAGGTACAGCTATTGGAAGTGGAGCACCTGATGATGTAACGAGCGTTGAGAGTGGTTTACACGTGAATTTTTCTACCTGCTTTATGGGCACTAATTTAATAGGTACATCGCTCGTCAATCTGACAGTTTCTGACAGTGCTGCTGCCTTCAATTGTATCGCCTTAATCTGATGGACTTTGATACTCGTGACAATGCTGTTACTACAGCTTTTAATAATTTTACTCTCACCAATACCCGGATTGGAAGACTCATCGTAGCCAGAGTCTGAGGAGGAGTCGCTGAAGATCTTCCCAGTGGTTTTTGATGCCTCTGAGGATGAATCGACACTGTGCGATGGACTGGAGGAGGCTGCACTGTGCGCTGGACTGGCTGCTGCTGAACTATGAAATGGACTTGTGTTTGCTGGAACATTTGCTTCTCGCTGGCGCCTTTGACGAGCTAGGCAACCTGCACAGCGTTTTATCAGGGATGGATCCACTATTATCTCACCGTAGAGACCTCTGAAGATTTCTCCACAGCAGATTCTCTCCCTGGAGGAAAGTTAATGGATTTAGTTGGTGTTTAAGCAATAATTTTGGTAGTGGACTTTAAATATCTAGTGATTGAGGTTTTGCATGAAGTTTTCCAAATTCCATTTGTGGAAACTAAATAAAAGATAACAAATATGGGTCTCTTATCCTCTTTTATAAACAAAAAAGAATTGACAGAGGAAGGTGGGGCAAAGTCGAACGTTCATCATTGTCTAAAATTCGAATGTCTCTGTTTGTAAATAAAAATATTGACCATTAAAGTTCATCAAGAACGTTCCACTTTGAAAATAGAAAAATTATGATGTCATCGAGATGTCCGTATATGAAGATATTCTGACATCATGATCGTTTTTTTTCTAATGACTACAATTTCTTGACTTTGCATTTATTTAGAAGAAAAAAATATGTCTATTTTCAATAACATTTCATTTAAAAAAATGTTTCCCCATATTTTTTCAACAAAATTCCTCATCACTGAACTAGTTTTATGTTCAACAAGGTGTAAAAAGTTAACTGGTAATTAAAGCTAAACGTAGAAAATACCTTTTGAAATAAGCCATATCAATGAACCCATTGTAGTCATCTTTCTCTTCATTACAGTCTGTGTCATTAAGTCTTTTGTCTGTTATCATTGTGTCATCACTGCCCTCGGGGCTCCCAGCTCGACTCGATCCTTTGCTACCAGTGCCTGTCATCTCCTCATCTGCAAACCAGAATTTTAGATTCATCCAGTGGCAAAAAAATATTGAAAAAAAAAAAGAATCTCTAGACAACTAACCATTCAAATCATCGCTCATTGCGGGGCTCTGCTCGCGATCCTCGTCCTGTTTGTTCGCTGTCTTCTTCCTCGAGAGTTTCTCCATATTCTCCTTCAGCTTTTTCTTGTTCTTTGACTTGAATTTCGTCAGAGATTTGATTCCCGGTCCTGCTCGTGCGTCGACAACCTGTGGAAAGCGAAATGTTATTGATTCGAGATAAAAGAAAATCGAGTTGATAAGGCGTTACGAAACGCTTGCTTACGTGACTCCAATTTCGATTGCTCCCAGCTGGTAGCTTTTTCCATCTTTTTACAAGCAGCACACAAGCGTTACAGATTTCGCCAGTGCGTCTCTCTTCGAGTAGAAAACAGGGGAAAAAATCCTCTTCATATCGTTTGCTATCGGTGAATCGGGAGCTAAAGAAAAGGAAATGTCAAACAATGTTTACACAGTGTCAGATGATAAATTCTTTCCGCGAATAATTAATGAACAAGAAAATTATGAATGAATGAACTTAGAATATGAATGCATAGCTAAACAAAATAGAATACGCAGATTGTAGATCGTATCAGTCATCTCTTTATCGTGTCTCTATATCATCGTATCAATCATCTAGTATTAATGATCATCTGCATAATGTTATGAATTATGTATTTAATGTATCTCAGACATCTTGTAAATAAATTAATCCGGTATAAATAATAAAATGGAAGTGGACAATTTAATTAAATCTTGATATTTTTTTTTGGCCGTTATTGATTCGAATAATTAGATGACAGTGACAGTGAATTCATTTCTGACTGTATTATTGTGTAAACAATTATCCTGAACTTTAACAATTTGTTTTTGTAATTGATTATTTAGAATACTAGATAATTTTGTAGTATTTTATTTCATTTTACTTCCCTTTCCGCCTTCACAGATTAATTTAATTTTATCCATTGTTATGCTTATGATATATCTATATATATTTCTCTCATTCATAAGTTACAAAATTGAATGAAGAGGAATTATGTTAAAGGTCAATCCAAATTTTTTGTTTAAATTACCCTCATTCGGGTAATAGAAAAATCTCTCCATGTATTCCTGAATGAAAAAAAGAATCAGAAAGGGATAATCGGCTAGAAATTTTTGTTTTTCAAGTATTAGAGGGATATCAATATTTCAGCGAAAAGAAATTCATAAAATGCAAAAAAAAGTGGGCGGGAAGAACTAAATAATCAATTTTTCAATGACTCCGGAAAGTTTTAAAATCTATTTTTTTCGAATAATGAAAGAATACCCATAAATTCGATTTCTATCTCGTCTTTTGATAGAATGAATAGAATTAGGGGAGGATGGGGCAAAACGGCCCCCCTTCAATCGTCAATATTTTCCGATTCAATAATCCGATTGGGATGAGTTAGAGCTCGTTTTGAAGAATGAAAAATTATCTTCAAAATGAAGTTGAAACTGGGAATTTTCACAATGTCATTCACAAGTTATTGACAATTGAAGGGGGGCCGTTTTGCCCCACCCTCCCCTACTTGAATGGCGATGAATTGGAAAATCACGAATTGGAGACTGAAAATTTTTTAAAAGGGATGATCGACTAGAAAATGGAGAAAACTTGTTTTTCTTCTATTGGCAGGATATGAATGCTTTGCAATTTTGTGATCTAATTTTAACGAGAAGAAATGGAAAAAAATGCAAAAAAAAACGTAAGCGGGAAAAAATAAAAAAATTAATTTGTCAATGTCTCCGGAAAGTTAGAAAATCGGGATATTCTTCCAAATAATAGAAGAATATCCATAAATTCGATTTCTAAAGAATACAATAAAATACAGAAATTGAGAATTGTAGATTAAAAATTTTATCGGATTATTATTATGTAATAATTGAAGAATAAAGAAGCCCATAATGATGTCTTCGCTGGAAGACGAAACGCTGGGTTCATCAACCAAAATTCTTTAATTTTCTTTCAACTTTATCGCCTCCAATAAAATCTCTGAAGACCCCCTAGGTCAACTGACTGTCGACAAATAATTCGAATATAATTAAATTGCGAAAAATGCAGAATAAATCAGATATTCACCTGCTGGATTTGGCTTTGCAGATGCAGCATCCAGTGGTCGACCGATAAACCTTCGGCTTATGAAAACTAAACATCTTCCTCGCTCGTTCTTCTCTTCTCTACTTCTACGTACCCCCTAAAATCACAAACAAATAATCCATCAATCATCCCTAATGCAGCAAAAATTTCATGAAAATGATACTGAGTACATTTGGCTATGGAATTATTTACGAGTGGCCCTGCCTTGCCCTTGACACAGTTAGCCATCTGCAGTTGGTCTCATTTATACTCTTTGGCAGGCGATGCTCTGGTTGAGTCAACATAATCAACCTCGAAAGTTTTAATTTTCATTTTCTCTCTTCTCTTTTATTTAACTTCGTTCAAACCCATCATTCTCTCCCTCTCTCTCTTTCTCAACAATCAGTGCCTCTGCGGATAATAGAGAAAGTGGAAGTAAGTCGATGTCTCGGTGACAACGAAATAAATAAAAGGAAGGCAAGAGGGCAAGTAGTCTAGCTCGTTCGCCCCTGACACAGTTACCCAGTAAATGCAACTTTCCTTTTCACTTTTACTCCACCTTTACCTCTCGACAGTTGTCGAAAAAAAAGTGAAATAAGAAGTGAGTAATATGAAAACTCTCTACACGGAAGTGGTCGAGTATTAACGTAACGATTTATCCAATCGCTTGCTTTCCAAAATAAACGCATAATTTTTTTCTGTATCGGGATGCAGCGAGAAGAAGCCTCTTCACTGATAAGGAGAAAGAACACCGATGAATTGCGATAACTCTTTATCATGTTTTTTTCACACAGGCTCGGATACAGAAATATCTCAAAACCCAGCGATACCGTCACTCGTTATTTCTTTTGTTATTCAATCGAGTAAGTAGTGAGGAAGGTCGTCGTTTTTAATGCATTCATGTCATCTACTAATTTCATAGTATATTTCGTTACGAGTGTGGAAAAGAGTTTTCTGTACTGCTTCTCACGATTTCTCATCTGGAAATTGGTATTACATACTTCTCAAACTCGAAAACTTGAAAATCACTACAGAAAAATATTGTTCCTGGGCTGTTGCGATGGGGTTTTTTTACTCGTGTGGTTGGCCAGTCCTCGCCTACGGCTCGGAGGCCAACGCCACACGAGTAAAAAACCCCATCGCAACAGGCCGGAAAAATACTACTTCATCACAATGCGTGGAAAAGGGACCTTTTAGGCACGCAAAGTTACTTTTTCGCACAGTGTGATAAAAATATATTTTTTGTCTTGTGTTTTCCTCCACTGAATATCCTTCGACGACCGCTTGAACTCGCTTCGTATAACCGAGCGTATTTTAAAAGCTGTAGAATGTTGTTTTCGCGCTTCACGTTCAACTTCTTTCTCCCTCCCTATCCTGCTTCTCGATCCCTCCCCTTTCCCCCCTGCCCCTTGCGAATAAACGTATATCGCATATAATGCGTACACAGTTCTGATGCTCCAAAAATAACTTTCAGGGGGAGAGAGATGGCGACGGGGTACATAAACACATAAATATATGCGCATATATATGTGCGAATATACGAATGCGGCGGCGGAAGGGGGGCTAGTGGGGGGGAGGGGGGGGGGAAGCCCACACACTGATATAAAAAAATACTAAAAAATACTGAAGTTGAGTCGCCAAGTCGTAAACATGCAACAGATATGCCAGAGTATTTTATTTTTCTGCCATCCATTTTTTCCCCCCTTTTTTTTCATAAAAACAGAACAGAGAAGTGAAGGCCGGTCAACACACATGTACGTCTGTTTTCGTCGGCTGCATAAAAAATGTGGAGGCGGAGGGAGAAGAGGGGAAACGGAGATTACACTCGGCTGGGAGGTTGACATTTCTGACAATGACAGAAAGCCGTGCCGATGAGGAATTCCAAAAAGCAAGGGAAAAATAATTTTTCATGGAACTCGAACGAAAAAAAGGGCAATTGAATCAGACGTACGCGGGAATGAGGGTATGCAGCGCTGTATTGGTGCGAAGGGAGCCTACTGGAGTGCGAAAGTGGAGTAGTGGAACGAATGGAGGCGCGAAAGGATTCGGGAGAGAAACGAGTAAAGTCAGACGTGCGCAAAGAAACGTCTGACATGGCGCGTGGCACGGCACAGGCCGCCGCCATTGCGGCTTCCCTCGTTTTACCTCTCCCCCTTCAGTCACCCTAGCTGTCCTATAAATCATATGTCATTCTCGACTACGAATTCCAAAAGGGGCATAAAACTCTTACGAACAGATTGACCGATTATGCGGGACAATGAGCAATACGTTGATCCAATGAGCGATCGATTTTTTTATTGATAATTAATGGAATTAATTGATGAACAACTGTTACGAATTATTTGCCCACTGCCCGGAGCACTAACCGCCACGAGCACGCCATGACAGATGATACGGCACGCAAACAAACTAGTTATCCACAACAGCCCCTACCAAATGGCAAACATACCATCCATTATTGTCAGTGATGACGATTATTATCAATGATAATGACGATTTGAATTTCATAAATATTTTCACAAACGCACGTGGATGCCACTGAATTTACTGTTAGGTGTCCCTCTTCAATGGAAAGCCGACGTTAAATATGCACATGTATATAGACGTTAGACGGTTGCGGCGGCGCGGATTTGAGCACTTAAAATGTACCGAAATGACACGACTCATTTTTCGCAAAATAATATCAATGGTTGCGTCAAGCGTCAGACAGCCGAGGGAAATAAATGAAACGACGATTGGCATTGAAAAATATTGATATTACCAGACGTCAACGATGATACTGCAACACAGTCTGGCAGATAGACACCCGAGTTTTCATCAACACCGGACACGACGCTGACATTAATTGCCACTTGTCAATTATTTACCGCACCGATCGTCAATGACAATTAAAAATTTTGTTCATCGTTTAATTGTCAAACTACTCAATGGATTTTCGGGGATTTTGACACACAATTAGTGACACTTAATGTACATAATATCACAACCGAAGTATTCGCTTACCTTTTCAATACAGGTGACGGTCAGTTTTGGAGTCCCTTTCTGCGCAGACTCGGCGCGCAGATGCCCGAGAGTGGATCAAGGATCAACACAACAACTTGCAGTTGTCAAACGCGCGCATTATTATTTTTTCGTCGGTAATGGAAGGACTTTTGAATGATTTAACTTCGTCTGGGGTTTTTACTGTTTTTGGAGGGTTTTAGGGCACTTGTTTCTTGGGGATTCGTTTATTATCGAGATTTTCAGAGCTTTCCGGATGTCGACTACGCAATTTCCGGCCTCACTGCGACGCCGCAGTCGAGTGACAGTTCGGTGTGCAACCGCCAGGGTTGGGGCAAAAAATGTGTAAATAAAGAGGACTGCGTTTTGACAATGGGCTGTCATCCGTCCATCTGACGTTAGTCATCTTCACTCCATGAGTCATCCATCCGAAAATTCCTGCACTAGTAATCACTGAAAATCACGACTACAGGGGTCGTCATTGGGAAAAACACCCCGGGTTTTATGAATATACTCGATGATATTTGTTTTCTCTGGTGGAGGTTTCGGTTTTGAATGCACACAGGACGCCACCCAGCGGTTGTACCTGTCAACACGGAGAATTTCACTTTCGGACGGCTCTCCACGGGCTTTTCCGTGCCTAGCCGAAAGTTCATTGACAATAGCCACCTGAAAACAGCTGATTGTTTGACGTTGGTTTTTGTCCTCCGGGGGAAAATAGAGATAAACGAATTAACGGGTTGACGATATCATGTTAATACTTTATCACGTCGACTGATGATAACGCGTTGCAAGGAAGACACGTAAATTATCGGGAAATCGTGATTGGTTTATGTAAAGGAAACCGGTTTATTGTTTTTTTTCGTTGTTTTTGTTTCTTTTGATCGGTTTGTTGAGGCTTATCATGGCAAGCTCAGTTACGAACAATGGGTATAATTTTAAGGTTGTTCTTTTGGGCGAGGGGTGTGTGGGGAAGACCTCGGCCGTGCTGAGGTATGTTGAGGACAAGTTCAATGACGAGCATTTGACGACGTTGCAGGTCAGGCCTTTGTTGTTATTGGTATTGATTTTTTTTTTGGAGATTGGTTCTTTTACGTTTATGACTTTTTTCATTGGTTTCAGGCATCGTTTCTCACGAAGAAGTTGAATATCGATGGGAAGAGAGTGAATCTGGCGATATGGGACACAGCCGGCCAGGAGAAATTCCACGCTTTAGGACCAATTTACTACAGAATGTCGAACGGGGCTATTTTAGTTTACGATATTACGGATGAGAATAGTTTTCAAATGGTGAGAATATTTTTGGTTTATGGAGTCGTTGGTCACGCTTTCAGTATCGTTTTTATCAGGTTGAAGGTGGTATGTAAACAGAGCTTATCAATTATTTCGTTGCACAGGAAGAAAAATGGTTGAATTGCGAATGAAGGATTCTTGAATCGTCAATATTTTAATATATATTCAAGGATATTTCGTTCTTGAATCAGCAAGATTGGGGGAGAGTGGCCAAGGTGAACACTTGATCTTTCTTTCACTGTTCTTAAGTCAAAAACCTTATGATCAACTGAGCTCAGCCTAAGGTGGGGAGGGTAGGGTAAAATGGACACTTTAAACTTTTTTAAAATTATTCATAACTCAGAAACAAATGCATCAATAGAGCTCAGTTAAGGCTCATCGCAAAGGGAAAGAATTGCTCTTTGTATTGAAAAAAAAAGATTGAATTTCATCAACATTTCAACCCGTCACAAATATTTTTAAAAAAGTCAAAAGTGTCCATTTTACCCCAATCTTTCCTAATCAGAAAGAGATAGAATTGTGTTTCTGGGGAAGAAAAATTACTTCATTTCACAAACAATTTTATGAGTAGAAAAAAGATTGAATTTTATGAGTCATTAAAATTTGAAACAAGTGGGAAATTGGTATAGTTGTATAGTTGGCATATGGTATAGTTTTTTTTGCTGATAAATTAGCAAATATGCTTCCGAGGAGTTATTTTGCACATAATTTCCTTCTATCAGGTATAATTAAGTGTTTATTTCATTTCACGAAATTGAATAAGATTTCTTTTCAGCTAGTTTTGTCAGATTTTCCACTTAGATAGAGGAGAGTGGGGTAAAACGGCCCCTTTTGATTTTTTCAAAAATGTTAACAGCTCATTCAATTTTTAATAAAATGGAATAATTTTTTTCCCACGGAAACTACACTTCTTCCCCCTTTGAATGAGCCTAGACTGATCTCAATTAATGAATTTGTTTCTGCGTTATGAGTATCACAAAAAAGTCAAAAGTGGCCGTTTTAGTCCACTCTTCCTTAAATGTTATTATCATTATTCTTATTATCCCTTCCTCCTATACAACCGGTTGTCGTTTTTATGGTTCTCTCCCCTCGGCCCTTCGATCAAATGTTAATGTTGTGAAGATAAAATCTTAATAGAAAAACTTTATTTATACGTACTTGAATGAATTTAAAACATTACGTTCGAGGAAACCACCAGAAAGCTCACTTTCACGGAAATTCATGAAACATTCTAAATTTTCAAAAATCATCATAAAAATCAAATTAACCAATATAGCTATCGTAATCATATTTTAACTTCGACTTAATGGCATTAAAACAAACATTTTAAGCTATGATTGAATTCATTTGAAGCATAAGATTCACAAACATCGCCGGAATTCTGTTTTTTTTAATTAAAACTTTTTTGAAAATTTTCAAATAAATCAAAATAACGATTATTGCTATCACCTTCATCTTCGAACTCGGTTAAATGGACATCTAAACAATTTTTTTAAGCTATCATTCAATGAATTCAGAACATTTTTCTCAAGTTATCGTGTGAAACAGGAATATAAAAAAATCTGATCCTCGGAACGTTCAGCCCTCCAAAATTGAACATTGAGTTTCGGTTTTATTCAGTACGAGAGGAATATCTGTACACCGTTATTCAAAAATAATGATATAATATAAAGTTAGACCACCTTCTAAGTCATCTCCACGTGAAAATCGATGATAGAACAACGAACCGCTATTTTTTGAGAAAAACATTTTTAACATTAAGGTAATGACCCTACCTATCCTCTTTGAACCCTACGCTCGTCTAGCTAAGGTAAACACATCATTAGTCCAATATTTCTATCGAAATGAGCGTGAAGATGCAATGATTTAAATTACGTATCAGAGGGTAAAACCTTCAGAATTGCAATTTATTTATATTAATTATGATAATTACTATTTTTTAATAAATATAATCGTCCATGAATGTGAAAAGTTCCATGTCCCTACACTCGTTCATTCGTCCCCATGCTCGTTTGACACATGTCCCCTATCCTCATCTCGTGATTTGAGTGATATGGAAAGGATAACCTTTCCATATAAATCCGAACCAATTACATCGTGAGTATCCTATTTTGTGATAAAACAACATTAAAAAATATCTCGATGCACAAAATTATATTTCCATTGGACAGTCCAACCTTTTAAATAATTTTTTCATCCGTTTAGTCCGTTACCAGTTGACAGTTGGGTGCAAAACGAGCGTAGGATCAATGCCATTTTCATTGTACCTATTCTTTTAATTGGCAATATTTCAGTAAAATATCCGGATATTACAATAATTTATGCATTTTTATTACATTTTTAACTATTCAAAACCTTAACCAAGGGATTTTTAATTCCATTTTACTATTGTAACGGAGATATCAACGTTTTAAAATTGTGAGGTGGTTAACTTGTCGCTTAAGAATTAACTCTGTCGTAGCACGAGTTGATGTGAATGCGATTTTTCTCTCTTATTATTCAATAAATCACTCTGCATTGGTGTCTATAACTTTTCTTATTGACTAAAATAATAACTCCAATCGTACTTCACTCTTCATAGAGTCTTGGGACTATCAAAATGATTGAAATGTCATAGCTGGCAGGATCTGAACGAGCGTAGGGACAAAGACGGGCATAGGTACATTTACCTTAATTGCTCTGTTCGAAAAAGTCTTGAATCGATCAATCTGAAACTTGACACAAGGGTGTAACTCGATCACCAGCTAGTCCTCAACATTTCAGGGTTTCATCACAACCTTCATTCACATGATAATACGTCAAAAGAACTTTCAGATTAAAAAAATGGAAAAATGGCAATATTTCGTAAATTTTGTACGGACGGGTACATATTTTTTGAAAGAACCAGATAGGAAACATTGAAACAAATTTTTTGAAAGAAAAATGAAAGCCGATGAGTAGTTTTCGAGATATTTGACAATATAGTTTTTTACAAAAAATTTAATATCTCCAAAACTACTCATTCGATTTTAGCCATCTGAAATTTTAGCCTGGAATATAGTAAGAGCTAAAATACTACCAAATGTCAACTTTCTATCTTAATTTTTTCGAGAGTTATCGCGCCCACGCCGATTTTATCTCAAAAATGGAAAATGTTAATTACTCTATGACTCACCCTAAGTGGCTAGGTGTATTGTGGCCTAATTCGATAGATATTATCGGGCGGAATATTCGGACATCTAACACAGTTCATTTGATGTAGTCGATATTGGGAAAAGAAAAATTTTGGGGAATCGCTGGATTTTAAAAACTAATGGACCTATTGAGCTGAAAATTGGCAAAGAAGTGCCCCTAAACACTACCAATTGTGGGGTAAAATTTGATATTTTTAGCTATCACTTTAGCCCGCTTTTAGTGAAGATTTATAAAAAATTTGCCAGAATTTTGCACGCACATACGGACATGCACACAGACATTTTCTAAAAACATCATATCCCGACGTTTCCTGACATTCCAAGCCGTTTCCAAGTGAAATTAGAGAATCGCAAAATCCATCGATCACAAAGCTTCCATTCGGAAGCAAAAAAGTTTGAAAATCGAGAGTGTCAATGGAACGACACAAATCCTTGAAGCCAATACTTACTTCTTCGCTACCTCCCTTAGATTCGGAAATATTCCTCAAAAACTCAACTGGGAGATAAGTCGACTTATCTCCGTTTACCACTTCACTGCTGATATATTCCGAATCCAGAAAAAATAGTCTGAAGTTCAAAATTTAGAAATTATCGTATGTAATACCGCAAGAGCTTCAAAATTATAAGGTATTTCCCCATATGTTCGTTGCACACAAACGAAGGAGTCAAGTTTTTCAAGTTAAAAAATCACGAGTGATTTTTCAAGAAAAACTTGACAAGTTCGTTCGTATGCAGGGAGCCTTGAGGGAAATACCTGATTAATTTTGAATGAAAAATTACCACTGGAATTATCAAAAACTATCAGTTGAATACCGTGTTGACTATATAAAATAATAGTCGAATGGTGAAATTCTATTTGCTGAAATTTGGATGGGAAGAATTCTCGATGTAATAGGGCAAAAATTCCCAAATCAAGTACAATAGTCTCGTCAAAGTTTTTTCTCGAAATGTAAATATATATTTCTACATAATAAAATATCCTGAAGTTGAAAAAATCAGAGTCTTTTATGCAACAATACAAGAATCTTCGACTGAAGTATTCGTATCCATCATTGTCCATATATTTCATTTTCAACTTGTGATTAAAAATCTTTCTGTTCAGGTAAAGAATTGGGTAAAAGAGCTGAAGAAGATGCTTGGCAGTGATATATGTTTAGTCATAGCAGGGAACAAAGTTGATCTTGAGAAAGACCGAAGTGTCTCGTTTGAGGAAGCGGATAGGTGAGTATTCAAAGGGAAGCCATGAAATCCAATACGTGACCACAAACAACTGCGTCAAATAAACCACCACGTCATTAATTGTCCCAGGTATGCGAAACAAGTGGGCGCAGCTCACTTTCACACGTCAGCCAAGCAGAACCGAAATATCGAGGAAATGTTCTTAGACCTGACGAGACGAATGATTGCTCATGCAGACGAGACTGAGCAACTGAAGACTAATCTCAACAGGACTAGCAGCACGCGGAGAAATGTTGTTGTCGTGGAGGACGAGGCTGAGCAGACACAAACGACAAAATCATCGTGCTGCGGTGGTTCACATACCTCATGAATTATCATTTTCTCTTTTGGAATTGAATTTATATTGAACAGGAGACAAACGATGTATATATTTAGTCACTTTTCTATTTATCGCGGGACTGTGTGAAATTTATCTCGAATCTTTTTTCTTTTCTCTTGATTTGACTAGAGGAGTTGTGAAACGAGATCAATTATCTTGACTTGAAAATCAGCATTTGATAAATATTTCCGAATTTGAGGGAGGTGAGGAAACTTTTCTAGGGAAATACGTTCTTTTTATTGGTAGAGCAAAACAACGGCTACAAAAATATATTTATGAAAATTATACTATTTCCCCCTAATTTTGGGATCTTTTAACATTGACACACGATTTTCATGACATGATGACCAGTTACACGCAATAGAGTCCCTTCATTTTATGACATTTTTGATGTTTTGCATTAAAACCTAGACTGAAGAAATGATAACCTTTACATTCTAATTGCATGAGACACATATTGAATTCTATTAAATTGTTATGTATCATTCCAATTGTACATTGTGTAATCTGAATTCCACATTGTATAATTTAAATTTATTATGTTCAATTCGACAAGTATAATTCGAGCATATAGAATCTAAGAAAAACAAAAACCCACGATTCTGAGCTCGAGTTTTATGCATTTATTGCTGCTGAATGGAAGAATTGAAATTGTTCTATTTTTAGATTTCCTGAATTTGCTTGGGAATGATGTGAAAAATTCTGAAACGTAAAAATACGAAGTTTGACGATCATCTCTCTATGTGCGTCTGTCCATTTTTAGACAATCGTGGAATGAAAGAATTAAAATAATTTTAAAAAACTCAAATTTTATGAGATTATAGTTATTAATGAGGATAAACTCTGTGTTCAATCTCAGCCCAATTGATCAAACCGTTTTGGAGAAATCGCCATTTGTTTCTGAATAATTTTTCGTAATAATCTTGAAACCTATTCAACCGATTAAATTTTATTTCAAAATATTGGTTTTGATGTCTTCTATCTCGATCAATCAAAATATGCATGTCCGTTCGTATGAAGTTTCTGAGGTATTTCCATTTTTCGGTTCGTCACTCAAGAGTCTTGTTCGCAGTGCAACTTTCCAAAAAATAAATCTATTAACTTGAAAGTTGACATAATGTTTCCTTTTTGCACCCTAATATTCTGTGTTAAAGGTGGGCTGAATCAGATGATTTGTTTAGGAGATATTAAATTACAGATTCAGACTACAGAATGTGCAACGGTGATGGTACATTACCATTTAGTACAATTCACTATGACTTTTGATCAATTAGAAAAACATCGCAATTATTTCAACCATTTCCATTCATCTTAAAAAATCGTCTTATCCGCGGCCATCAACGCTTGTCTCAGCAATCTTAATCAAATAGCAAAAAAAAGGAAAGAGCAGACGAACCAATTTTCTCACAATTGCCAACGTTTAGGACACCCAAAGTCCTTCATCAGGTCATTTATTTATTCTACATAAAAACAAAAAAAATATTTCCATAAATTTCCATTCATTTCCTTTTCAAAGAAGATTAGGTTCATTTAAAAGGGCATTATTTCAATTTCTGTAGACAAAGTCTTAATGCAAAACAATACATGTCAAAAAATGAAAAGGTTCCCTAGAGTGTAATATGTATTTCTGTAACGAAAATGCTACGTTGGTGTTGGAGAATGGCCTAATTCCCGACATACAGTAAAAACCAAAGTCAGAGTAAAAGTGACTTATCTCGTTTCATTACGCAACTAATGATTTTGCAAAAGGGTCACCGTGGGTTATCGAATTTTGATATTTGCGATGATTGAAATTACCGAGATCATGTGAATTGTTTTTGTAATGTAGGTTTGAGAATAATTCTCATGCAGACTGCCAAAGAAAAATATATATTGATGAATCCTTTGAGTTGAATGGCCTGGAACCGGCTATTCACGGAGATAACTGATCATTGAATTAATTATATGTTTGGGTGATAAATCGTTTCAGCTAATGCAACTAATTGATGAGGAATATTGAGGATCCTTGGAATAACGATCAAACAGTGTTAAGGGAATTATCAGTGATGTATCGTTTAATTCTGTGTATGAGACAGAGTCCTATTGATAATTACAATGTGCAATAAATAAGTCGTAATTCAATTGTGAAGTCTAAATTTTATTTCAATGATTGGTGGCATCGATGACACTCCCATTCACTGATACTGGATTATGTTACACATATCCAACTAGTTTTAAATATACATGTTTTTTTCATTTTATTATTGCATTAAACCTTGGATTAGAGACATAAATTATTGAAAAGAACATTGGAGGAACATGTTGTGATTTCTTGCATCGAGAACAGATATTTTAACACAAAGAATTAGTGTAATTGTTTTGCATGTGTAATAGTCTTGAACACAGTAACAACCAGTCAGAATTTTCTATTTCATCTCTTGTTTGCATGAAAAAAATTTACCAATTGAGTTTTTCATTTTTTTACCTAAATTCTAATTTTTATCATTTCTCTATACATTTAAATCAATTATATTTACAAATATTTTTATCAATTAAAAGGATATGACCGGTAGTTTAAAAACCCATTCTATACACATTATATTTTATTTTTAATGGCCGGTATTAGTTGCAACGAGTTTGAGACCTCTCGTACGGTGAAAAAGTCATGGAATGTTTGGCTAAACAGTTTTTTCCCATTATTTTTCGGTTCGTTATTTTTTTTTTGAGTCGTTAGTGGACTTGAAGAATGGTTTTTATTACAAAAAAATCATTTACTCACTCGATTACTAGAATTAGTGCGATTCTCTAAGGCATCTCGTTAATAAAATTATCAATTATTAAATTTTTCATTCTTTCTCTTCTTTCATGTGTTTTGTTTGAATTGTTCCTTTTTTGTGTCTTCAAATTAAACTATTTTCTTCTCATTTCCTACAATTAAAGGTATGACGTTCCTTTTTATCTTTGGTATACAATCAGAAAAATTCAGTATAAATATTTTGACACCTTTTTTTTTTTAAAAAAAAAGAGAGATAATAAACATTTCTTTTGTTTTTTCATTTTAAATTCGTCCCAATTGTGCTTTCTGTTGTGACTAGGTTCCTGTATTAATATTAGGACATCATCATCATCATCATCATCATCGAAGAGTATTATTTAGAATTATAAAAATGAAGGAAATTATGCTTGAAAATTATCATCACAACTTCCGACAACAACGTCAACATATTTTTTTTTCTCTTATCCGATTTTCTCAGGGAGGGTTGTAGCCATCAAATACTGACTCCAGGAGTTTTCATTAGTTTAAATGGACTACGCAGTTAGGCCACGAAATGATAGACTCAATTCTGGGGGGGAATTTCATTTATATGATGAAGATCTTGTCTTGATAGGCGAATAGGAAATCGATGAATTGATTTATTGGTCCTATTGCTGATAGGGACATTCCTACTGATGAAGGGGCTCTTACCAAGTTTGGGCCAAATACAACGGCTAGATTGCTGGATGTCATTTTGTTTAGATCAGATCTATCCATTACCTGTTGAATAAATACCAGTTTTTAATTTTTAGTCGTTATAATTAAAGGTTATTATGTTGATAATTGAAGGGGCTTACCCTCGATAAAAACTGCACTATGTACTTCAGCAGTTGATAATTATCTTCTGGTAATTTTTCGAGGACGAGAATCTTTACTTTACGTGGTCGTTCGTCCTTCGATAATGCTACACAGTAAAAAAAGATTATTCCATTGACTGAATTATAATTCATACTGGCGTGAAGTGTACTGAGGCAAAAACAAACATGATCTGAAACAAGTCTTATGGAATGAACAAAAAAAAAAACAAGTTGAAAATGACTAAGAATAAAAAAATCTTGTGTTGAAAATTAGAGATGAAGATTATTGGTCGCAGAAATAGATTTAGTTTTTCAAAAAATTGTTATTTCCTGTGTAAATTTCTAGCATTACCTTTTCGTTATTCCATACTACCATATGTATTTTTCTCTCGAAAGATACTTATTTTAGGCGAAACAAAAGTAGGAATTTATCGATTAGTTTATCCAATATTCAAAGATGAGAAATGAATTCTCAAGTAGAATGATAATGATGACGTTTTGAGAACAAAATATTTCTTGATAAACGTCACTTCATGAGAGATATTTTCATCCCGAAAGGGCACCATTATGTGTGGATGATCGAATTCGTGAATAATTTAAATTTAGTCATTAAAATGTTCGAATGCAACAATTTATATCACAATTATTAATTTGGCATTTTTAGTTACGAACAAGACTTGTTCGAGAACATGTTTTTTTCCTTCAGTGTGGTAAAACGTAACAACTCGATTGTTCATCGCGTTGAAGATAAAATCGCAATCAACGAAAATGCCAAATCTGATTGATTTCGCTTCACCACTCAACCTTAGAATTGATACCAATAAATTGGCGATAAAGAGTCATTACGAGTGATATTTACATTGGAACTGTGTGATTTCATCATAAAGTTCATAAGTCATCAGTGGTTCATCGAGTTCTCTCAAAAAAGTCTTCAAAAGTACAGCAGCAATATGTGGGTCCCCTCGAAAATCAACAGGCAGTCCATGATTGCACTGATTCTGCAACTCCTTGACAACAGCAACATTCGCTGATCTTCGAAAAATGCCCTCAGTCTCCAATGCATCAGGTGTATCGAGAAATTCCACACATTGTCTCACAATTGGTGGAATAGGATCGCCCCCATTGTTCTCTTTGATAAACTGTAAACTGGCACCAAATTGAGTCGTGGCAATTGGCGTTGCTACGGAGCTCGATGGTGGACTCGTTGGTAAATTTTTCCTCGTCTTCAGCATTAGCTGCTCATCGTGCTCCAGCACTTGTTGTGGAATGATAAGTTGATCCAAATTTATATGCGTTGCCAATTCATCGAGGTAATTCACGTACATCATTTTTCGTCCAAATTTAGCACTAGAAAGAAATTTGAAATGTTGATTTAATGGATTTCTCTCACGGATTATTTTGCGAATATCTCTCACACGAAAAGGTTCAGGCAGATCATCTAGCCATTAATTCTAGTTACATTGCATACAAGAAGGCTCTTGATGAATTTCCTCAAACCTCTTCAGCCCGAAGATATTTATAAAATAATCTGCACGCAAAGGCTTGCCTCATCTATTTCAATCATCTCACAAGTGAGTCCAGGAACATGAAGAATAATTACCTAATAGCAGGTTTAAAAATCTGCCAGACAATCCTGATAAAGTTAGTGGGATGAACTAAATAGAGTGCCTTCAGATTTTTCTTATATTTTCTATCAAAAGCCTTGTACGCCTGCCACAGCCACGACAATGGTGGTTTGTTCTTCGACGTAAGGCCATGATGAAAATAAACTAAACTGTAGTCCTGCTCAACGAATGTATCCAGTGTGTGTGTCAGATATCTACAACATTAGAGCTCAATAATTTACAAAATTCCTCGCTTGTCAGCAGTCCAGTAAAGCAATATTAGTCAACTTCTCCTGAGAATTTTTTTTTTTATGAATATCTTCAAATCTAATCTTTTTTTACAGCTCTCATTTTTCCTAACAAAAACGTTGAGTGAGAATTCCCCGTCGTCCTTTAATTTCCAGATATTTGGTCAAATTTTAACAATAAAATGGTCAAACAAGTCAAGTCCACTCATATTAAAATTTGTGAGGAACAGTCAAATTCAAGAGATACCGGAATTTTTTATTGATAGCTTTTGTGTAGCTCTCACTCCATTTTACAATAGCGGCCTATAAAAAAAACTTCCTATGCTCCATGATTCACAGACATTCCGCAAAAACTCAGTTCTGAAGGCTTATAAAAATTCATGTCGACTCACCTCCAAACTGAGTTTATAAGGAAGGTCTCTGATTTTAAAGGGAATGGCAAAGATATTTATTAAAAACCTTTGACAATAAAGAGACAAATCGAACAAAATTGACAAAGCTCCTATCCAAATTGTCAATACATCTCTAAATCCCTACTTGTTCATTATTCTTTTCAAAAGATATTTTTTAAAAATCGTTTAAATTCTCATAAATCCTAAAAAAAACTTGCAATGAAATTCTCCCATTTTTTCGTAATTCTCATTCTTCTCTACAAGAAAGGAAATGAAAAAAATGTCCCTCGGGATCTGTGACATCCTACGAAAACTGACAACGAAATCAAATTAACTCATCTAGTTTTCACTACAAAAAACCCTTTCCCATTCATCCCCAAAAAAGCTCTGTATCAACAAACCGAAGAAGTTTGGCGTGATTGAAGACCCCCTTGCCAACAGCAGGGAGTTTGCAGGCAGACACGACAATCACCTTGCGACCAGCACTATCATCGCCCACCACTTCCACAATGCCAAGCCTCGCGATATCGTGATAGTCCTCCTCGTCAGCGAGCTCCTCGTCCAGAGCCGCCAAATCTTCAGCTGAAAAAACAATCAGAGAACATGAAACCCATAAAATTGGGGTCAATGCTCACAACCTTGGCATTTGAATGTCAAACCCACCATTCTCTATCACGGGGGCATCCACCAGAGCTTCCTCAAAGTTTTCTTCTATCGTCCCATCGCTCACTGGGCTCTCCAAGTAATCAACAACTGTCCCAGTGCCAGCTATACTCAACTCCAACTTCTCCTCCAACAGTTGTGTAGCTTAACAAAAAACCCACCTATCGATTAATCACCTTTCTTTTTTACGTGAGACCATGATTTACGATGTAGCAATGATGTCACCAATATTATTCCTTACCATTATTCGCTGGGGCCTGTAGTTCAGTGTCGTCAAACTCTAAATTTGGCTCGTAGTCGTGATAATCAGAGAGACTTGGATATGGGTCTTCAACGTCATTCGATATACCTTAAGAATAATAAGAATATGTAATAATGAATAAATGATTCAGACAGGAAAGAATGAATTCAAATGGTAAATAGGTGGGAACAGGTTGAATGTGTCATAATAAATATTCGTGGTATTGTACGTGTGTTTGTGTTTATGGTTTACACACAGTACCTGTCAAAGCTCTCGCTGGACTTGGAGACGGTTGATAATCAGCTTCCATATTTCTCTTATCGCGTTGATGATTTTAATGGTCGACTTTTATTGATGCAATTGTTGCAATTGCCGAATAACAAACCACCGCCCTGTTTACATGCCCACAGGCCCTCCTATCGCCAACGTAACAACATTATTTCTGTTGCGGTGGAGAGTGATGGAGAGTTGGCGGACGATGGAAAACTCTTTCTACAATATATCACTGTGAAGACACAAATACAGACTCATATGCAGGCTGCGTCAGAACGTTTTACGGGCATTGTTTGATGACAACTGGCACTGGGCGTCGCTAGTGCTGCGATTCATCGAATTTTCATCGATGGGTCGAAGGGGAAAATAGCGGGCTTTGAATTGACCAATCTAGTTGGTCAAGTATTCGTTCTTTATATTTTTCAGCCAATGCGGTGGCGAGTTTCCACGGCTAAACACTGCATGGGTTTATGAGGATACAAGCGCATCTCATTGTGTGCCAATTTGCCGGTAGAGAACAATGACACGATGAACAATTCCTATTTCAGTGAGATCAGAAGTAGTCAAGAAATATTCGGGGGTGGATAAAGACAAGAAAGTTTTAGTTGTGTTGAAGATTATTAAGGAGATTAAAGGTTTGTGCTTAATTTCAATGGATTAATGTAAAAAAACACGCTCGCTATTCGTCACGAGGCCGAAAAACACTTTTTTGACGAATGTGAGGGTTGCAAATCGAGACGAAGCCGAGGAATGCAATTACACGGGTCAGAAAAGTTGTTTTCGGCTGAGTGACGAACTAGTACATTACATGCTCGAGTCTTGGAAAACAGATCACCGTCCCCCACGTGCAAGATTGCTTTCCGAGCCGAAGGCGAGGATGGCAAGCGCATGGGGGAGGGTGATATGTTTTCCATGGCGAGGTGTGTATATTAATTTTCATGTCGAGGGACCTGCAAAACGCCAATTCTGGAGAAAATCTATCGGCTTTCTATGGGATTTCTATTGGAATTCAATTGAAAATTCTATTAGTTTTTTGCGCTGATTCCATTGCATATTTCATACGGAAAAGTCAATAGATTTTGAATTTCTTTCTCCAGAATCCCAATAGAATTTTCTAGCTAATTCGCTAGGTTTTCCTATTGGATTTTTCCATACGTGTCAGCATTGCGCTACTAACCTGAATCGGAAATAATGGATCAACGGCAATAACGTCATTATTTCCAATTACCCTTTTTTCTTCCAATAGGATTTAAGGAGTTTTTTCCACCAGGGATGAAACTATTTGTTTTATGACCGTCACAAATGGGAAATTGGATGCATCTGTACAGATGTTTTGACATCAATTTGGTTGCCAATTATTTGGGATAATTTTTAATTAGAAAATTCTGAGTTATATCACCGTCGTACGATACAATCTCATAAACGACGGTCATTTTGAATCTCTAGTTCCAATACTGCGGATCGATCTAACCAACCAGAGACTCGGGACAGAGCCCAGCGATAAATCTATTGTCCCAACCTGGGTATATCTAAGATCCGATCAATTAGCCCCTCATGTATAGATATTCCAAATTTTTATTTTTTTCCTCATTGAAGTAGTTTTGAAAAAAATTGCGAGCTAATAAAAAACATTTGCTAGTTAGTACTTTAAAAAAAAAAAAATTTTCGGAAAATCACCTCTGAAAAAAAAGGCGTTATCCCCTCTATTTCATTATTTCCAAAAAA